AATATAATTTTTCAGATCAAAATTTTCTTTGTGAAGGAACAGTGTTAATATTTAACTGTGCACAGTTTTTACCGCTCTCTGTATGTTAATTATTATCTTTTGTTTTGAAAAATAAATTTATAACGGCAACAAAAATATACCTGTTTCTCTCAAAACCACGATTCGATATACACAATTTTTATTGTGAGGCCCCTAATCAAGGAGGATTGGGTGTGGATAACCCTAATCGCTCTACTATATCCGACCTCAGCTTGCACAATGTCATGAACCATATCGAAAATCCCAGAAACGGTATCCAAAAAAAGGGGTGAGAGAGGAGGTCGGCCTAATCTTCGAATTTTTCAAAATTTTTAAATTTTTTAATTATCTATACAACCAATATCGCAAAATACTCAAATTATGAAAAAAATGTTTCACCCTCCTCCTTTAAATTTTGAGGGGGTGAAGTGATTTGTCCTTTGATGGGTGAAAATTCAATCCATCGTATCCGAAGTTTCCTATGTCTAGGGGTTCTAAATATCGACCTCCCCTGGGCAGTTTCAGAATTTTTTTCGTTTTTCGCGAACCTCTATCTGTCTATGTAATACAGTCCATGTCGGTTCGAAATTAAAGGGTGCCCATATTCGCTACAGGCCAATTTTATTATATTTTAATAGTAAATATTCTGGATCAATGGATTTCATATATCGAAGGTTGAAAAAAAATACGATTTCCATAATTTTTTATTGATGAAACTAAAGCTCGTCAATAGCTATATACAAAACAAAATTAAAAAAGAAAACTGGTTCACGAATAAAAGAGAAAATGGTACCGAACTATTTTATCTTTGCCTATTTATATAGATATTTTTCAAAAAACATGTACCGTCAAACAATCAAACAACTGAAACTCTAGGAAATATAAATATACCTAACGAAGACATTCGTGAGTGTGGGATGAAGAGATTAAAATATTGAATTTTCCACCTCCAAGGCCTTCTCATAATTATAGCATTTGTATGCTAAAGTGTAGCAAATATTGCAAAAACTGAAGAAATAATGGGAAGCTACTAACTGGTACATCTGGTACCCTATTCTCGAACTCATGAGAATGCTCCTACACTCTCCTACTCGACTGCTTCATTACCAGTGTTGCCAGACGACCAAAATCAAATTGTACAATGCTTTTTTTATCATTTTATCGTGTAAAAATGATCTTACTAGGTGACGTTATCAGAGGCTGGTTAATTTTTATGGGGTAATTTTTTATTATTATTATTATTGAGTACACATAAAAAAACAAAAGAAAAAATAACACTGAACCTATTCTGGTTCAGCTAAATTTTCTTGTAATTCTTTCTGATTTTGATCTTTTAATTGTTTTTGTATATACATTTTTAAAGATATCTTGAATGTTATCATTTTATATGTAGGTTAAAAACTTACATACACATCCATTATCCAAAGGACCCCGCACTTATTCCCTTATGTAAATTGGCAATCAGTCAAATTTTCTGAAATTATGGTATGTTGTTGTACTCAACTCAATCCAATGACTAGTTTTCGATATACAGATTGAATTTCTGTTGAATACACACGTTTGCTACATATTTTAGGTCTGTATTTATAAACAGAACTTAACTGAGTCGGACTTGGGTAAGTCGTCCTTGAACTAAAATCGAAGTTCGGTTACAACGTCTCTAAAGATCTAGATGGTTCTGGTGTTAGACTAGAATTTAGAGATGGATATTAGCAAATCTGTAACTGTTATTTACATTTACGGATTTGTTACTACCCATCTCTAAATTCACGCGATATAACCGAACTTCGATTTTCGTTCAAGGACGACTTACCCAAGTCCGACTTAGCTGAGCTTTGTTTATAAATACGGACCTTAGTTACAGGGTGATTCACAAATGTATGACGGTATATAGTTTTTCCAAAAACTCACTAATTTTACTGTGACGTCAGGGAAGCAGAAAATCTGACAAAAGTAGATAAAGACTTGGTAGGTACAGCCTTTTTAGAACAATTCCATGCAAAACGTTCTGAATATCTAGGAACTGACAAACCGAAACAAAGGAGGAAAAAATTACAGGTTCCCGCTGGAAAAGCATAACTGCCAATGACCTGGTGACAATTGCAGATATTTCTGGACTTTCAAAGGTTACTGCTGTCAAGCCCGCAAGGAAACAACGGCGAATTTCCCTTTCAAGTTCTTCTGATAACTCGTCTAATGAAATTCAGTTAGAATCAGATGAATTGAGTGAAACATTTTCAGACCTAGAAGAAGTGTCCTAACCTGTTGTCCAAAATTTCGATCAAGAATCAAAGACAAATCCAGGAATGAATCATACAAATATGACGATTGGCGACTTCGTAGTAGTGGTATTTAATAACAACAAATACCCTGGAAAGATTATCGCCGTTTCAGAAGGACATACAGTAGATTTCATGAAAAAAGGATTAAGGTTTAGGAGATGGCCAGAAAAGAAAGATGCAATCCTTTACAACTGGGAAGACGTTATTACAAAAATTGATGAGCCCAAAATGGTTTCTAAGAGAAACCAATATAGAATTAAAAAGCTTGTTAATTTTGTTTAGGTGCTAAATATTATTTTATGGTTATTTTTGGTAAATAAACTTATTAAAATTTCTTCCTGTCTAATATTTTAATTATTACCCACGTAATTCACAGCATAGGTACTCCCACAAGATTGGTTTTTCATGCAATTAATTCTGAGCCACTTTCGTTTAGTTCTACATTGACCCAGGCCTTAAACTATGCAAGTTGCCCCTTTTGAAGGTAACTGTGGCCCTTTTTGATTATTTCCAAAAGCAAACAGTCAAATTGCACCATAAAACAGAAAGCTATAGTCATTCTGGCGTAAAATAAAATAAGAAATGTTTTTTTAAATTGAATGTTTCTCATAATTTGTTTAATACTGAAAAAATTACGTAAAAAGTAGGACAGTGTTACCCCATTTGACGGTACCTATGTAATAATATATTACAAAAAAATGTGTATGCAACGTAAATCCAATCTAGCTCGTAAGTTGGAAAATAAAAATTCGAAAAATTGGGAATATTCAACTTTTTTTTAGTATATCGTACAAATACGATACTTATTATTATGCGTCTTGCAACACTGCTCTCGCCGTTGACATTCCTCATAATTTTAGTCGAGTGACATGCGCAGCATAGCCAAATCGTGAAATTACTCACACTCCTTTTTCCCATAATCGCAGAATACGGCTCCTGAAGGAAAAATATATCTTATTTTAAACGATGGTCCGAAAGAAATCAAAATCGAAAAGACGAAGGTTATAAAAAAAGAACTAGAAGCATCTATAGCGAAAATGGTTGGGAGATTTATTTATTTTTGATATGCCCATTAGAACAAAATGGGAAGAAGAAAATAAGAAAAAAACATCCACGTTAATATTGAAAATGAATGAAATTTAAATAATTTTGTTTTTCTGAGGTAGTATATACTTCCTATATTACTACACGGTAAGCCATTTTTTAGTTCTTTTAAACTGTTTGTATTTGAATATAAAATAGTTGTAAAAAATATTGATATACCTACAAATCATAATTGAATAAAAATTGAATGCGGATCTATCTAGACCAGGGCTGCACAACTCAAATTTTCAAAGGGCCAGTTCAAAAACCGTAAGTGTACGAGGACCAATCCATACCTGGCTACGCCGACCGGCATAAACACAAACGGCCTGGACGCAGCTCATCTACTCTGTCAAAAGGAGACCGATGTACAAATAAAACGCGTACGACATATGATCATGTGCCACAAAAATGTACACGATTTTACAAGTATTTTTTCTTACCACCGGCATTCAATGTTTTAAATACAGTAGACCGTCGTCCAGCGGCATTTTTCAATTCCCTGATAGCATGCCGCCCTGATCAACAAATCAGTTTAGATTTGCGGCAGCTTTCTTATATGTGAGAAGACCATGCCGCCGGAAGACGGTTTTCTTTTCAACAAATGCAAGCACCGCCGGCGGTCGGTTAGCCAGTATGTTCTAAAAAAGGCAACTGGTGCCTAAATACAATTTTGTTACTGAAAAATGTATAGTTTGACATAGGTGGGGCAAACTGGTCAATGGCCAACGGGCCACGAAAACGACAATGGCCCGTGGCCGTATTTGTGCAGGCCTGATCTAGACGAAATAATCGCAATTTGTGCGACCACGAGTCATTTTCTTGCATGATCTTTTTCTTCACCAATTACTGACTAGAAGTACTGTACCTACAAAGCGAAATATACCCACCCATATCCTGTCATTGGCATTGTCTACTGTAAATGGGAACCTGTCCCAACGATTTTTTACCTAAAATATTATACAATTAGAATATTTTATATACAAGGTAGGCTATTAGTGCGAGGAAGTCCAATATCTCTCTTATCATAAGAAATATAAGAAAGTTTACTTTTTCCATATTTCAATAATACTTCAAAATATACTAGGTGTTCCGTTACATCGGGGCCGCTTAAATGACGATGTTTTTAAATTACTCAACCTGTATATTCGTTCACCATTGATTTCAGCGTAAAATGCTTGGTTCCAATACTAATTTTTTTTTTATTCTGTGACGTTGTCAATTTATGACAAAAAATGTAAAAAAAAACTTAAAAATTGTTCATGACAAATTATATTAAAAAAAAAAAACCTTTAATATTGAGTCAATTTAAAATATTTGAAACGTCTGAGAGGATCAAAAGTTTATTTTTATGTACAGGCGATTTTATACAGGGACACCAACTTGCTAATCTTTACACATCTAAAACTTAATTTTTGCATATTAAACACCCAGTATATTATTTATATTTCACTATTTGTTATTTGTCATTATAATAGTTTTAATTATTGATAAATTAAAAATACTAGAGATAAACTTAGGACCTTCCAGGCACCAATCGGCCACCCTGTATATATATAAAAAAATATTAAATTGAATACTAAATATATGTTTCGAAAACAGTGATTAATTGTTTAATCAATGCGGTCTCTTGAATAAATGATCTCCAGGACTGGGTTTTTTAGAAGGAGAAGTATTGGGCGTACAAACCAATTTCGGAGGGCTGACTTGTCTGACTCCGCAAGGCTTGCCTTTGTTCAAAATATCTCTGATGTGTTGCACTATTAACTCAATAGCCACTGCAAAAGAATCAAAACATGAAAACATCAAAAATTTCAATATTTTTAGTTCGGGGTCCGTAAGTAAGGTCGACCAATCGGTTTAATGGATAAAAGTTTATTTTTATTAAATAAAATGTTTTTTAAATATACCGCAAATGGGTTGCCTAAGAAAATACAGTCAGGGCCATTTTTTACTTTTCTTTCTGTACACAGATAAGGAAAGTATAGGAATCATAAAAGTTGCTTATGATGTCATTTTCTATTACTTTGTCCCTATACATGATTTCCCTAAAATAGACCTAGTTCGAGATATTTGAGGAAAAGTGCAATTTCGAATTTTGAAGATAACTCAAAAACGGATAAAGAGAAAAACACCAAATTTTAAACTAAAACTTTAATCCATCCTGCGGTGAGCAGATTACAGTTTGGGCATAGTCGAAGCATCTGGGGAGTACTTTACAGGGTGTCGTTTTTCTACTTTAGGAAAATAAATAGTCTGGACCGTATTTTCTTAGGCAACCCATTTGCGATATATTTATAAACATATTTTATTTAACAAACTTTTATCCAATAAACAGATGGGTGAAGGTCGACCTTACTTCGGATCTTAGACCATTTAGAAAGCTAACGTGATATACGACAAAAATTATTTTTATTGGTTTCTACCATAGCTGAGTAATTACATGTACTTTAAAAATAATTACCATTACAAAGTACTTTTTCAAAAACGAATTATTTAAAAGTACAAAGTTCATGGTGTAAAAATAGGAATTATATTTTTTTAATTACAATTACATGAAAAAAGGAATTATCAATTATTTTTATAGTTATGTTATGTTGATAATGGGGTGTTAATACACTGCGACCTAAAAGATCTATTGTGCCCCCTTCTGTCGCCACTGCACTAAGGAAATGTCTCAATGCCTATAGCGACCCTTCCAATCCTATTTTCTCAAGGAAGTGTAGGATTTGAAGTGGCTTCAAGTTAGGTAAGTCTCCCTCTTCTATTTGATATCCTCCTAGATATAGTGCCCTTGGATTCTGGAGTGCTACACATTCAGTTAGGATGTGAATGGAGGTTTCGTCCTCCTCCTCACAGAATCTGCACTCACTATCCTCTACTACTCTCAGTTTACTTAGGTGTCCTTTTAGTCGGCAGTGCCCGGTAAGGATCCCTGTTACAATACGTAGCCTGTTCTTGCTCAGGCAGAAAGCAGGCTTCCGATCTTTTTTGGTTATATTCACCCAGAAGTATCTTGGCCTGTCTCAGCCCCAAGAGATTGTTCCAATTATCGGTTCTCTACTACCCAATTCTTTTTTAATCTCTTCTAATATTATGTTACTGCTGATACCGCAGAACGGCTCAGGTCCTACAAAGGGTGTTTGAGCCCCTTTCCTTGCAAGACTATCTGCAATCTCGTTACCCTGTACCTCGTTATGTCCCGGGACCCAAGTGAGAGTAACTCTATTTTTCTCGCCTAGCTCATTCAATTGTTCTAGGCATCTCCATACCATTTTTGAGCTGATTACGTAAGAACTCAGCGCTTTGATGGCTGCTTGACTATCGGACATGATGATAATCTCTTGTCTATGATAGTTTCTCTCGATGTTAAACTGGATACACTTCTCGATGGCGTGAATTTCCGCCTGGAAGATGCTTGGGTATTTTCCCAAGCTTTCGGAGTGCTTGGTTTTTTTTATAGTTACTTTTTAATTACTTTGTGGATAAAACAACAAATTATGAAACAATTGAGGAATCATGAACCAACCGGACCGGTAAGAAAAATTTTTTTAAATAGGTAATTCAAAGTGTTCAACCTGAGAATATGTTATTCTAGGGTTCAACTATAACAGCTGTTTGCAGCGATTTTCGCAATTATTCCTTAAAGTTAAAGATATCTTAAAGGCAGGTTATATAAAGCTTTCTTAAAGTTAAACTCCGTTTGAGGTGACACATGATAAATTTTGTATGGCATAGGTACAGTCTAAACGCCATTTAGCACTTAGGGCTAGTTTCCCCAAACATTAAACTTCACCTATATCAACGGCGGTTTCTCCATTGGTTCATTTGTGCAGTTATATTTTATTAAAACACATTATTTTAAAATAAATAACATAAAAATATTAATTCAATTTTTATAATTTTGTTTTCATACGGGTTAATATCTATTTTTGGGTACGCCACTGCGCTCTGGCTAATCGCGTTTTCGTGGCGCGCTTTTATAAGTGAGCCAGAAGAAGTGAGAAGCGTTCTTGAAAATCTTTAGCTAAGAAAATATTTACTATGAGAAATTATACATAATACAAGGTAAAGCACTGATCTATATTATTTTACTGGATAGGATATAGGCTATATTTAACATACTAAAAATCCGTACCACCAAAGAGACCGGAAGTGCAACACTGCTGGCCGATTTGGGCAAATTATGGTGGGATCACATAACTGAATTTTGGGATAATTCGACATACCTAACCTATAATTTGATTAGTTTTTCTTCTTATTCTTCTTCTTCTTCTTCTTCTTCTATTCCTTTTGCGGGCAATGTCCTTCGGGACAATTCACCCATAATTTGATTTTTTTATGAAAAAAAAAAAAAATGGAAACGTGAAGCATATTGTGTCTTCACGAATATAGTAATGCTATTCGATACTACCTAAATAAATAAAAAAAACATCTCATCGTAACTTGTTGACACAATTAAATGACAAATGCGATGACAAATGCGATGACAAATGGAAATAAAGCTTATATTAAATAACATCCGGTCCGCCATATTATTTGCCCAAATCGGCCAATTTTTCGGAACGTTTTTTAGAGGGCTATATCCTATCCAGTAAAATAATACAGATCAGTGAGGTAAAGTAGACCCAATTTTCGAAAGAGAATGGATACGCGAGGCAAACCTCGATTTAAAGGAAATTAATATTGTGGAATTATCTACTAATAGTAACTTAGAAAAAACTTTGGTGACGTTTTTGACGAAAACATGGGAGAAATTCCGAACTACAGGGGACACATTGAATTAAAATTTATATAAATTTATATAAAGCCTAGACGTGTACCATATGCGATATTAGGAAAAGTTGAAAGAGAACTTGAACGGTTAGAAAAATTAAAAATAATTACCAAAATCGATAATTCTGAGTGGGGTACACCGATTGTGCCAATTTTAAAAACAAATAGTGATATAAGATTATGCGCAGACTACAAGTTAACATTAAACAAATGTATTAAGGAAGAAAATCGAAGATATTTTTGTGAAAATAAATGGAAGTACTTTTGCACATTGGATCTAACACAAGCCTATTTACACATGGTAATGGACGAATAAAGTGCCAAATTACAAACCATAAGCACACATAAGGGCATGTATAAAGTTTGGGGTAAAAGTAGCCCCAGGACTATGGCAAAAATATATGGATAAATTTTTAGGTGAACATGAAGGTGTTCAGTGTTTCCTAGATGACATCATTATACAGGGAAACACATTTGAGATAACCATGTAACGATTACGTAAAGTGTTGAAGATTTTAAAAGAACATAACTTAAGACTCAAAAGAAAGTGTAATTTTTTTCAACGGAGTATTGTATATCTAGACCACATGATTGATGAAAGTAGACTACATAAAACGAAGAAAAACTGCAGTGCAATAACGAATGCTAAACGACCAGAAAATATAACACAACTCAGAACATTTTTAGGATTAACAAATTATTACAATAAATTTATTCCAAACCTCGCAATGATTTTAAACCCTCTAAACAAACTTTTACAAAAGAATGTAAAGTATATATGGAATGACCAATGTTAAGAGTGTTTTAAGGAGAAAAACCAAGAGAAAGCCATGACTGAACTCTTGTCCACTATAATCCAGAATTACCGTTAACATTAGCGGAACGGCACTAAAAGGCCAATAGCATTTGCTTCACGATCATTAACAAAAATCTAGAAGAATTACAGTCAGATAGATAAAGAAGCCACTGGTATATATTGGGCGTTAAAAAAAATTCCCATACTGCTACGGCAGAAAATTTATGCTAATTACTGACCATATGCCTTTGGTTTCAATTTTCAACCCCTCAAAAAATTTACCATCAATAACTACAACAAAAATGTTTTGCTATGCTTACTTTTTATCAGGGTTCAATTATAAAATTAAATACAGAAAAACTACAGAACACGCAAATGCTGATTTTTTATCACGTTTTCCAGTAAACGAAAAGTTGGGCAATTACAAAGACCAATGTGAAATTTTTCAACTCAATCAAATTGATGTACTACCACTGCCAGTCACTAATGAGGAAATTAGGAAAGAAACAGTTAAAGATCAAAACTTGAAAGAAGTATTACAAAAGTTAAAGAATGGAGAAAATTTGAACATATTAGGATACGAAAATAATAAATATACAAGGTGTTTTCATGGTTGAGTCATTGTAGAACTCGTCAAAAGAAGTCGATATACCAAAAATCACCTAAATAAAAGTTGCATATTAAAAGAAATAAAAAGGAATTTCAAAATTTTAAAACTAAAACGAATACAAACTATTTATCCGCATATTTTAATATTCCTGACCACTGCCAAGTAAAAACTTATCGTTGTTTGTTTACTACGACAATTTTACTTATCTAGGTATGGCTATTTTTTTGTTTTACGGTTTTGAGAACGATTTTCGGTTAGTTATTGGTATCAAGCGTTTAGTTCGTATCACTTTAATTTTTTTGATATTTTGTACGGAAAAATGGTACACGTTTATGGAAACAATGAACTAGTGGACATAATACTAACATACGGAGAGTGCCAACAAAATGCAGCCGCAGCATGTCGCCTTTACGCGGAAACGTTTCCATTAAGAAATCATCCGGCTCCACGGATGTTTATAAATTTAGTTATTCGACTTCGTGAGACAGGATACTTGAAAGAACAGCGAGGGCGTCACGCTGGAAGACCTGCTCCACCTGAAATGGTAGAAATTGAGGAAAATATTTTGGAAATGGTGGAAGATGACCCAACAATAA